ATTGTCAGAAATTTCAGTCGATATTTTTATTGGGTTAGCCGACGCTTCAACCCCAACGTGTGGGTAATCTACAGAGCTATCGTTTTGAAGTCGAGACAAAAAAAAATACTGAAATTCCTGACAAATTTTTGTTTCATCCAATAAATACATATATTCGTTCGCTCTACTTTTTTTTTCAACAAACGCGGAAACGGATTGCGGATGTGTCAAGGAACCATCATTATTAGTCCATACATTCAAGCTTTTCCGGCATCCTTTCATTACAAAGGAAAAAAAGGTTGACTAGGTTGAAACATAGGACTCAGCTTTCATGTGACGTACGGTACTTGCGGTTCAGAACAGTTCAGTCCAATTTCATGAACACAATAAACTTAATATGTAACAGCTTTTAAATCTAGTATATAATAACAGTAAAAATTCGACACAATTAGAGACAGACCAGGAAAAGATGTGGTATAAACAATAGGCAAGCATGATGCGACGGTAGGTAAAGTCTATAAATATTAGGTTACTTCGGAGATTTTTCCCTCCAAAATTATATTACCCCTTCAGATCAAATGGAACTTGTTCCAGGACCAATTATATATTGCTTGTACACCTAGACTCTTCTGTATCGGAATATTTATTAAGATACATTCGAAATAAATTTTAAATAGAAATTCAGTCTGATATACAGGTAGTTTCAGGGTTAAGTGGCCAAACCGCAAAAATGAACTAAGGATCTCAAAACAAGAAAAAAATTGTCTCCGAGAAGGTATGTCCGCAAACGCTTTGCTTAGGAGATATTCACACATAAAGATTTTCGTTATTATGAATTATTTACGTTATATGAAATAAAGAAAAGCTATTTATTTGTTCTAACTACTTTGTTAATTAAATGTAAAGATTAACATTCATATTAAATGTTGTTCGAAATGATTTCCTTGAGCATTAACACAGGCTCAGCATCTTTCTTCAACAGCAGCAGTGGCATAACGGCACTGGATATGTGTTATTATTTCACTAGATTCGATTATCTTTCTTCGTAAGGAATTAAGGTCATTGAATGGACTTGCTCAGTCATATCCCATATCCCAATAATTAGATTGGCCGTGCAGGACCAGTGGCTTGACCTGCACGCTCTCCAGACCACTGAATTTTTTGGTTTGGGGTGAGATTAAACAAAAAGTCTATGCAAGTCCGGTCAATGACCTTAATTCCTTACGAAGAAGAATAATTTAATCTTCTGAAACAATAGAAGATCTCCAGTGCCGTTCTGCTACTGCTGCTGTTGAAGAAAGATGCCGAGCCTGTCTTAATGCTCAAGGAAATCACTTTGAACAACATTTGATATGAATGTTAATGTTTATATTTAATTGATCAAGTAGTTAAAACGAATAAATACGTTTTATTTATTCCATATAACGTAAATTCATAACAACGAAAATCTTTAGGTGTAAACACTAGCGGATCCAGGATTTAATTTTGGGGGAGGCTTCAGCCCGAAACCTTTTTTTTTCATAAAAATAACGATAATTACTTTGGAAAAATAGAAAGAAACTAACTACCTATATGAAATGGTGTTTAAGTTATTCCTTAAGTACTTTTAAATGTAATTACACGAACAATAATACTTTAAGAGGTATTTTTAAATATTTTTTTCCATAAAACATGGTTATATTTTTCCATTTTGGGGGGGCTTCAGCCCGAAAGCTCCCCCTCCCCTGTAGATCCGCCCGTGGGTGTAAATATCTCCTAAACAAAGCGTTTGCGGACACCTTCGGAGAAAATTGTTTTCTTGTTTTGAGGTACTTAGTCCATTTATGCAGCTTGGCCACTTAACCCTGAAACATCCTGTATATAATTATATTGTATTTTTCTTAAATCTAACTTCCAAGACTTGTTCAATACTGCTTATACAAGATTTCAAAACATAGAAACGTAATTACTAAGCTAACTTATAATAAAATTAAATAAACAACGCCTTTTTAAACTGGGGCACAGAAAATTAAAAAAAAATAAATCTTTTCTTAATTACGTTGGTTTAATTTCCGGGATAAAATTGAACTGGCATACCATTGCTCCAGAATAGGATTCCCGACTTATCTTAGCATGTTATCGCCGCCTTTTCGTGCAGAAATATAAAATCAGGTCAGTAAACCAAACATTCTTATTTATGCAGTAAGATTTAAGAATAAAAAAAATAAACCGATCAATAATTTTCAAATAATTTAGATTTATAATAATAATAAGGCTTAGCGAACCCGAAGATTCGATGCCGACACCACCAATCGCTTGTTACACACCTCCCTCCACCGTTCGCCGTCCAAACCCAGTCCCTTCAGATCGGCTTTAATGCAATCTTCCCACCTTCGCTTCGGTCTACCCCTCGGACGCTTACCATTCGGCACAGCAAATATTAACCTTTTAGGAATTCTCTCGTTACTAAGCCCAACAACTTTACAAGCCCATTTGATTCGCCGCGATGAAATTACCTCAATTATATTACCCGGATACAGCTCACGCAATTCGGCGTTGTGTAACCGTCTGAACTCTCCGGTTAACTCATCCTTCTTCGGTCCGAATATTCTACGCAATACTTTATTTTATTTTCAAAAACCTAATTTAGATTTAGCTTCATTATTTAAAAATGTCTAAATACTTGATTGGTATATATTGCAATATATTTGCAATATATATATCCTAAATTGCAATATGTTTCAATGCTAAAACCTGTGGTAAGAAATATTGCCTTGCTTACTAAGTTCAGTTTAGATTGAAAGAGTTCAAAGCATTTTCGGGAAAAAAATAAAAAAATAATTCTATGAATGATGAATATGACTCTTTAATACATGGCAATATGGACTTCAGAATTGAATGAAAAACCTATTAGATTATATAGTAAAATGTTATCGAAAAATACATTAAATCGCTGTTATAATTAATTTTATTGAAATAATGTTCTAGTTGTAGGTTAAAGAGACAAATTCCGAAAGGCAAAAGTAAGAAAAGTAATGAAAACAATATTTCCATTGAAATTTATTTCTACCAGACTATAACAACTACAAATCAGATTGGTCAAACATAATTTTTCATACTACTATAATATCAGTTTAAATAAGGATTGAATATTTCATCTAAACATATTTTGAAGAAGAAAAAAAATTGTGAATTTTCTTATGTAAGTAAGTCATGTAAATTATGAATGAGACTTCCTGTTCAGTTTTTATTGTACTCTTAAAATAAAAACCAAATTAATTAAGTAATATTTTTGGTTTGTATTTCAAAATTCGACCAGGGCCAAGATAGATCAGAAAAGTTTTTTTTTTTATTATTTCCTAATGATATACAACTGTATTAAATAAATACATCCAGTGAATTTGAACATATGTATGTAACATATAATGACATGAAAACACTTGCTGAGTAACTACACAATGGTAGCACTCTAATGATATATCTACATTAGGAGATCACGGGGCCATCTTCTTTTCAGGCGCCTCGGAAGGTTATCAAGAATTGAAGAGGAAGCAAGGTTAGAAACCAGAGGGTTGGGATGAGTCTGAAGTTTATTATGGAAAGATAGGTATCTGGATTGGGCCCGATCTTAAACATAAGAAACATTAAGGTCATTATGGATGGTTTCATTTGTAACAAAGTAGGGAGCATTGAGGATTTTACGAAGGATTTTGGATTGTAAGGATTGGATACGAGAGGATTTCTATGGTTTAGTGGAGCCCATAGCTCAACTTCCTAAGTCCAAATAGGCCTTAGTATAGTCATGTATATGAGTCTTTTGTAATTAATTGGAAGTTTAGAGCGTTTGTCAAGTAAGTGCTGAAGTAATCGGAAACGTCGAGCGGTTTCTTGTCATTTCAGTCTGGAATGAGATCAGAAAAGTATTTTCCAATGAAATTGTTTTTACAGGTTTTCGGGGCTTGGCTGTCGACATTATACATACAAATATATATTAGTTCTCAAAAAATAATTTAAAATAAGGCTGCGCTTTGTTATTTCTTCACCAAATTTATTTCAATCTACATCGGCTACGTTTCGGCTAGTAAGTCATTTTCAAACCATTTTATTTAATCATGCTTGTTGCATGTAGTCCATAAGTTAACTTTAATTAATTGATTATGAATATTTACTTTAACAACCTTTAGGAATATATGAATTAACTATGTCAGACATTAAAACATAGAAATTTGAATTATCAAAGCGTCTTGAAAATAGGGATTTTTGCCGCTCTCAGACCACTATGCAACATCCAATCCCATGATGCGATTAGATGTAATTGAATATAGTAAAATGTGGTCTTCGATTTGTTTTTCTCTCCCAGTCTGATGATCCCTGAATTGGCGAGACGTTGACGAGTTTTTTATTCTATGCCTGCATTTCGGAGACATAAGGTTGTGCTGTTAGAATTTTTCGAATTACAACCAAACATTAATTTTCTATCTCTTGGTACATTTTTACTGATTTATGTTAGATACGATATTTACCTATCATAACCAGCTTATTAGATTATAAACAAATTTAAATTTACTACCTTCCAGCTCGTAATTGGAACAAAATCAAAACGAACATTTGCATTTGAGATCTTTTATCGCTACTTAAGTTTCAGATATCATTTAGGTAACATGTATATTCAGGAGTGTAATTTCCAGAATAATTACTGTTAAAATCTGATAATTAATACCTTATTCGTGATAATAAGTATTTTACTTATCCGATATTTATCCATGATTTTCTGTTTTTAAATAATCATATTAATTATTGTATGCATTTAAAAACCAAGTTGAGTAATCTGGTATATACTTTCTGATGTTGAGAAAACCCAATGAAACTGTTTAAAATCTCAAAACATGTTCTGCTTCTATATTTCGCCTCTAATAAATACTTTTAATTTTGATATATCCTTATCAGTAGGAGCTCCTGTGAAATTTATATAATTCAATAAATTAGCAACCATCAAAAATTTATTTAATGAATTATTAATAATTTTATTTTTTGTGTTCCAGGTGTTTAAAGATGAAAACGAATATATTATGGAGCTTCCTCATCGTTTACATACTAACAGAACGTAAGGCAACAATAATTACATAAATTTTATTTGATACAAATAAATTACATAAATTTTACATAAATTACATAAATTTAATACAAACCTTGCAACTCAAGCGTGATTGGTATTTAGATAGGTATAATGATTTAACAGTCCTGAATCGATCAGGAAAAAATAAATAGACTTATGATAAACAACCTTCTTTAGGTTATTCATATCTTGTGTAAGATTTTTTAAATATTATTATATTTAATATATATAAGATTATTTTTTATAAACCTCTTATTTTATCTCACAGTTCATACTTACAATTTTAAAACACTAATAGATTATTTAAAAATTATTATTTTTTAACGTTTCGGATCCAAGAGCCATTTTCAAAAACTCTTTAAAAAAAAGAAAAGAAAAAAAACATTTGACAGGTCTGAATAACGAAACAAAAAATATATAAAATCAAATTTAAAGCTAAAAATATAAAGAAAAAGAAAAAATTATACTCGATAGTATAGTATATTCGATAGTATTTAGTAATTTTTTTTATTGTAAGTACAAATATTTGTTTAACCCTTGCACAAATACAATACTTTTCTAGTTTCGATAGTGAGGAAAGAAAAGTGAATTAAGAAACCTTAGTTACAATACCAATACTACTTTGTACGTTAAATCACGTTTAGAAAGACCATTACCCATATACGCCGTTGAAATTTTGAAAGCCAAATTTAAAAAGAATAAATTTTAGATAAAAGAAAATAATTCTACAAATATTTCCTAAGATATATGTAGTGAAAAATACTTCAATTATAATGTTTTTTATGAATAAAACATCAGCAAACTGACGTTTTAGAAATTTCCTCTGTCATCAAGGTTCCACTCCTTAATAAGTATTTCACTTCATTTTCTATTTTTTCCTGATCTAAAATTCATTATAAAATATTTAGTCATAATAAATAAAATGAAATATATTTTTTTATGTATCATATTCTAGGAAAATCACATTGGCTTAATGTAATTCAATTTCTTAATAATCGAATTAATTAAATAACATTTGACAGATCTGACTAACGAAACAAAAAAATAAAAATAAATTAAATTTAAAGCTAAAAATATAAAGAAAAAGAATTATACTCCATAGTATATTATATTCGATAGTATTTAGTAAAACCCGATCCTGGCGATACATAATTTTTTTTTTTTAATTTGTAATGGGTAAGGTTTTGTAGTGTTTTACAGGCTAATGCAATGATCTATTTACAATCCCAGAAGTAATTCTTTAACAGTCCCAGATGGATTTATTTTGTATTTATAGATTATAAAACTTCAAATTCAAAATCTGATTTTCAATGTTGGAAAGGCAAAAAAATAATCTAGGGGAAACGTAATTAACCGTAAAAATTAAAACCATTATAAAGTGTTAATGATATAACCCTAAATGTTATGAATATATAGTTTAAGTTGAAAGTTTAAATCATTAACATTAACATAAAAGTAATGCAATAGGATAATCTAAGCATTTGTCCAAAGACAAATTGAGAGTTTAGCAAAATAAGCTTTTAAATCAATAAGAATGATTTGGTTTTTAAAAATACGTGTGGAATACTACAATTTAAAGCAGACGTGTTTCATCCTGCCACTTTACAAATAGCAGAAAATCTTCCTATGTACTGAGTTGAGGAAAAATGCTAGTTTATATTATTAAGCCTTAATTGAAATTATTTAAAATAAACAGATTTAACAATATACAGAAAACTACATCAATGTACTGTAACCCATAACAACGGTTGTAACAGCCGCATCAAATTTCAGCAATATTAAATAATTTTGACCTTCAAAACAGTTGATTTAAAATTAAAAAAAAAAAAAAAGTGAAGAAAAACAATCGCTTGAAATATATACCAATCGTGAGCTACTAACCTGATTCATTTTTTTTTTTTTTTTTTTTCACTTTTATTTATTCATTTCATTTATTCATTTAATTTCAAAACTAAACTACAATTTGTAGCGTGAACAATAAATAAGCCATTGTGATTTACAAGAAACTGAGATTTGGGGTTAGTGACAATATTTATATTCAATCCTGAATCATTTATATTACTCATATTAGTTTTATTAAACCATAGAGCCCGAAAACTAGTACCTTTAGTCTTATTTTTAGATAATTCTTATAGTAAGAATTATCCCCAAAATAATAATTATCTCTACAACAATAACTATGTCTTATAATTATTATGAGATATAATTATTCCAATTATACCTTATAATTGGAAGATTCGAAAAATAAAATCTCAAATCAATAATTTAAAACAGATAGATCAACTAGGTGTGTTGAGGTGTCATGAAAGTTTTAGAATTCCCTAATTGATCTGTCTTTTTTTTATACTGTTGATCTGAGATGTGCAATCTTTTCATGTAATTGAATGGGAAAGACGTTGGTTAATTATTTACCGGTATTTCAGAAATTTAAGACTTTACAATTTTTTAAATGCATCCTAATGACCGCTTTCAATCTCTTTTTGAGATTTGTTTTTTTATATCTGATTATAATATTTTGTATTTTAAATAAATAATCTGTTTAATATTGTTATTAAAACCAGGTGGTGACTGCCAGTGCAGTAAACAAGATTACCAAAGATGTGTAAAACTGGCAGATCCTCTACTGAAAGATCCGCACCTCATTTATCCAGACAATCCGCGGGACATCGAGAGAGTTTGCAGGTATGATAAATAATAATAAAATATAATTAATTTTTACTTTGACTGCAATCCCCATAAATATTCTCTTCAAAAATATGTGAATTATTCGCTCGAGCCAACTAGTCAATACTTATTCCCTGATTTGTGGATAGTTTATTTTAGATTTACTCGAGAAATAATTTTTTTTTTTTATTTGCATATAAAGCCTGTTGTGGCCTATAATAGTTTTTAAAAAATATGGGCATTCTTTCAAAACAAGTATATTGTTATAAAAAAGAAATTATGAAATGCGTAACAATGTTTTTTTTGTTAGTTTTTCTCTTCCAAAACTCAAGTAAGCCGGCATAACTGTAAAATTAACGATTTTCCACTTTTTAAAACCAATATCAACAAAATGATTATTATTATTATTGCAAGTTTGGAAGAAAAAAAAAGGTCTGAATCGTACCAGTTTTCTTTGAGTTGTCAAGAAAATGACTAAAAGATAACATCATATTTGTTATGTAACCATTCAATGTTTGGTAAAGTTGGAGATACGTTACTAATTGACAACATAAGGAAATAGATAATGTAAAGCAGCGTAGGGCCTACCAATTAAATATTAATTGTTCTCAATATTTATCCCAATGATTATTTTTAATTGGTCTTTTCTTTAACAAGGAAACCATTATAAGCGGGACAAGCGATAAGTAATTTGAAATAGTTTCAGTCTTTCTAATGAATAAGATTATTCGTATCCAATTTTTCATAACTTCCACCTTTATGAAAATTAATATGTTAGAGATAATGATTACATCCAATAACAACCGATATCACAAACAAAAATAAAAAACTAATCAATTTGTTGTAGGACATGGACTTACTTCGTAGAGTGCGTGAAAACATACACTGATCGATGTTTCACTGAGTCTAGAAGGAAAGAGTTCAACAAAGCTGTAGAAAGTCCAGTGTCTTCAATCCACAAACTTTGTTCCTCTCCTGATTACAGGAATGGTAAGAAGAACAATAAGTTTATATTTAAGCCGTCAATTAACTCCATTTTATTTCTAATTTCATTTTAAAAAATATATAGGTAGCGTGTTAAATTAAAGAATACATTTTTCGCTTTGATGCATTGTTTAGGAGTTATAGGTGAGAAACCCCAAAAAATATCGAAAAAATCTGACATTTTTGGCTGTAAAAAGTTTTCCCTTAGTGGCCCGCGTTAGCAATTTTCTTTTTTACATGTCTAAACCTATATATAAAAGTTAAAAAAATAAAAACTTTTCTCACATTTTTCGCAATGTATTTCCCGTTTCGATCCTCAAATTGTTGGTCTAATATTCTTTAAATCAGTCGCCATTTTTGAAAGCAGCGGCTCTGGAATGGCAGATAAAGTTTTTTTTTACTCAGAATAACATACAGTTTCCTAATTTACAATCAAACCTTCGCCTGCGATCAGGTCGATTTTTGAGCCCTGGCTCCAGGGCTAGTAGGTAGGGGTTTTTAGAGCGCTAAAATGCTATATTATTTCGCCCGGCGACATAAGTCTACCGATAATAAAAATGGTTAACAAGGTCAGCAAATACCATGACACTTCAGAATCACTTCGGCGTGGATTATAAACTGTATCCTTATTTTTCTTCTAATAAATTATTCTGCCGTAATATTTTCTTCAATTATTGGTAAAACATATGTTAGGATGACTTGTTACAAATCATATCAATCATGTGAAGCACGCATTTCCAGTTGATAATGGCAAAAGCTGAAAGGATCATCCTCTCGTTGATCGGCCCTTTTCGAGATTTCCTTCTCGGAAGGAGACCCAGGACAGCTGTGCATTATCCTCATATCACTTCAACAAGCACTGAACCGCCACCGAAAGTCTCACCTGCTCCCAACAATAACCTAGCTGACAACTATTACAGGGAAAGGGATACAGAGGTTCCAAAAGAACTTAGGGAAGTATATAGTGCTTCTAATCCTAATAAGTCAAAGAAACCAGCCAGAAAGTTTAAGAAAAAGATACCAACACCTGGGGATGTATACACTGATGATAAAAAATTTTCAAAGTTCACATTTCTCCCTCCAATTACTTATTTTTAAATAAACATGAGATGAACCCTAATCTATTTATTCCTTGAGATTGTTGTCAAGATTAAAATTAAGCATTACCTTCATGTTTAAATTGCATACTTAAAGAAATTACAACTTCAAAAAGAAAGGCTTCTTCAAGTTAGAGCCACCATTTTGTCTTTTAAACTTCATAAAGTAAGTAAAGAAATTTGGATTACGAGTTTCTTCTAAACTGGATATTCATTGTTGTCATCACAATAATCCTGTAAAATTAATAGGATAGACAAGATCTCTATTTTTTTTTTCAAATTGTTTCAATGTATATTATTCGATGTAAATTAAGCTAGATCTTGACAAATCCGCACCATTTATTCAACCAATCAGTACATAAGTTTTACAAATAGGTAAATCGTTTTTTTAAAATTATTTTAACTCAACTCTTTGATCCAACCTTTCATTTAATGGTATCAGGACCAGGTATCAGTGACTAAATAACAGTAATTGCAGGAATAATAGTACTTTTAGGGCTTCATTTTTTGTAGTTTTTTTTATGACAGAAGCTTAAATTTGGTAGCTGAAGTTCCTGAATTATAATTTAAAAAGAGAATATTGTGATTCTTTAAGTATTTTGCTCAGATCACTGATAGGAGCAAATATGGATCAATAAAAAAAATTATTTTCCATACTGGAGTGCTTCAACTCAAAAGGCACTCATCTCGAATCTGCATGCAACTAGTTGATTGGTTTTATATCAAAAATACTATTATTTGGTTGAAAATTACTCCTTTCAAACTTCTGTTGTTTTTTTTCCCTTTAACTTAAAAACATTTATTCCCTCCAGGAAGGTAGTATACAAGTGTTGTTATTAGTGGATATAACTATTCAGGCAAGAACATATCGTGATTCTTACATGAAACCATTCATGAGTTGGAATTTTGTAGAACTGATATAGTATAAAAAATTAGCAGTCCTGGGTGGAACTGAATTGAACTCACACCAGTCAAGACCCTTTGCTCCGATGCTCTTGGCCATCACAGCTTCTGTAGGAGGAATAAATTGTTATTTTAAAGTGGATTAAAACATTAATAATTAATTTACACTAAATCATATCGGATATATATGTAAATCTCTCATGTATTAATACATATACATTTAATACTAATTAACATTTATATTTCTCTTTTCTGGTGAAGTATAAGAATGGACCTTTTCATTGGACCAACTGAAATAAAAATGAGTATTTCTTTATAAATAAACAATTGGGTAAAAAAATAATATGAACAATACAATGCATTATGCAGCATTGACAATAATATGAGAATTTGTTTTAATTTTAGAATACATGAAGCATGCCAGTTGTATGAAAATGATGCTGACCGAGGACAATCACTGTGGACGTCACTATAAGCTTCTAGTAAATCAAGTCTCTGGTGAAGCAGCACAATCTAGTGTATGTTGGTGAGTATAACTTTACTATACTTACAGTTATTCATAATTACTATATCTTCTTTCGGAATGAAAATATAAATTTACAATGACAGTCTTTAATATTTTTAATGTAAAATAACAAAAATTGAAACTTTTAGTGATAACTTCTTTGTTTTACAAAATCCATTTGTCATCAGAACTTGTTTTGAAATAGAGCAACAGGGCAAAATCAATGATTACATGATTACAACTGAAAATAAAAATTAATGACCTAGCCAATTTTAAACTTCATTCAATAGCAATATAAATATAATGCTATAAAAATAACAAAAAATATGAAACAATTACCTGATTACAATCGTAATCGGAAATCTGATTATGATTGTAATGGTGTAATCATGTAATTAAGATCTCTGTTGTCTTAATCTCATAATCATAATTACTGTAATTGAATCATTTATTATGATTATGCCCATCTATGCTTTGAAATAGAATTTCTAAATAGCCATATAGAATATATGTATCAAACAACATATTAGTTAATAGGTTTGATATTAATAAAATAGCAATAAGTTTAATAATATGTAAAGAATATTAATAAGCCTCAAGGCTCCAAGAACCAATGCCAATGACCACTGCCTATATACCTCCTTTCACTAACATCATTAACATCTAAGAACTATAAGGTCAAATGTTGTAGTTCCTTCCACGCACAGTGCTGATTAGTTTTTTGTTGAATAATTGCCCAATAAACAACCATACCATTACTCTGCAAATCAATTGTCTTATTTCCTCTTTTGTGTCCTTTTTCTCTAATATTTAGTGTAGGTAAAACATTTGGTAATTATTTAAACTAAGAATGAATACAAAAAAATGATTGGTGACAACAGCAAATCTTTAAATTTTAAGATGATAAAGTCATAATCCATTATGAGATTGGCCTTGCAGACCCTTATAGGTTTTTAAATTGAAATTATTCTTTATTTAACTGAAATCTATCAGGAACCAAATATCTCCATTAAAACCGAGAATCATTTTTCAAACAACCCAGTGCTTAAAATAAACTGGCTTCCAGCAATTTTTGGCCAAAAAGACTTTATAAGAATATTTTAATTGATTATTAAAAATAGATATTTAATTTGTTATCAAGTGTATATTTCATTCATATTTAATTAATGCTAGCTTGAAAAATGTATTCTTCATATGAAATATAATATGGCAGATTTTAATAATTTCTCTTTTGTAATATTCTTTTATTATTAACTAACTATATTTTTTGTTCTTCCCTACAGCTCACACCATATGTTCCGAGAATGTGTGGTGGACCAAACAAGAAACACCTGTGATGCTGAAGCAGCCCCATTTTCTAGCCAAATGCTTGACAAGGCTCTATCTTTTCTTAGAGACCAATGCTCCAATTATATGTAAGTGCATCTGTTCTATTAAAAATTTGATGAAAGTAATTTCTAATTTATATTAATTTTAATTGTTAAGTGAATTAAATTTGACAAAATAATTCTACAGTGTAAAAATTCGCACACACATACATACATACATATATATATATATATATTTTCCCAACTTTCCCTCACTCTATCTAAACAACCACCCCATCACCTTCTATCCCTTTGTTAAAAATTTAGGCTTTCTCATAGATCAAACCCTTTCCTGGAATCACCATATCTCTCATATATCCCGCCGTACAATTTCTACCCTCAAACTATTCCATCACTTCCGCCATCTTCTACCCCAAAATACCCGTAGACTCCTAGTTTCCTCTCTCATCTTTCCCCACTTTGACTACAGCTGTGTGGTGTACGATGGCCTCTCGGTGGAACTGCGTGATAGACTCAAAAGACTTATGAATTGCTTCGTAAGATTTGTAATCGGAACCCCGAGACGCTCCCGTGTCTCCCACCACTACACTGAGTTAGGGTGGCTCTTCCCCTCCTTAAGAAGACAATATTTCCTTGGCACTTTCCTTTATCAAATCATTACCGATCATCGTCCTTCTTATGCCTACAACCTTCTCCAATTTAAGTCCTCAATCCATTCACTCACTACAAGATCCCGACCCTCTGACCTATACATCCCTTCTCATAGATCTGCCTCATTCCAAAATTCCTTTATAGCCCGCTCTGTCAACTTTTGGAATTCCCTCCCGATCAAAATTCGACATGCCTTTTCCCTGTACACATTCAAAAACCTCCTATTCCAATTCCTGTTCCAAAAACAGTCAGATACCAGCTAACGATTAATATTATATATGTATTGTGTAGCAATCATATAATCATTACACTTGGTAAGAGATAGTACATGCATTTCCTACTATCGACGTAGGAATTTCAACACACACATTTTTTTGTATTTTTTTTTTTTATTCAATTATAAGTAACTGTTTATTTTCATATATATATTGTATATATATATGTTGTGCAACCCTGAAATATAATTTTGTTCATAGTTCAAATGATTCGTTCATAGTTTTAATTGTTTTATTCATAATTTTAAATGCTCTGTACATAGTAGTATCTGTATTGTATATAGCTTGTGCACCTAAGGTTTTCTTTACTTTTTATTTTATTTTATCAATTTCATTTATTGTTTCAACGTTCAGGCCAGTAATATTCTATTATTTTGTACATTATTGTTATTCTGAAGGGACTTAGTCCCAGAATAAAGTTTTTTTTTCTATCTATCTATATATTTTCCCATATATATTATTACACTAAGGCTTGAAATCGGTATTGTACCAAATATTAGCTCCTATCACGCTCAAATACATTGCAAGTTCATATGTTTACTAATTTCAATTTATTTATTGATTTTACTGCTATTTTTTAAAAGTTTATTTAATTATCTATTCTATCTTATTATCTATAAATGTCTATTATTTTCCTTATTTATTTATTTTATTCTGTCAATCCATTTCTTTGTTGTTTTTTTTATCCTTTTTTTTATTTTTATTTTTTGACCAACCATCCAAACAGTATTAAGTGGTGTTATTTAGTTGATCGGGCGCTTATGACCTAGATGTTTTGCGCCTAGACATCGAAACAAACAAACGCTCAAATACAATGAATGGGTACCATTGGATTCAGAATTTCATGGGGGGTTTGCGAACCATACTCTCCGCTTTTGCTTTTCTTTCTAAAATAAATAAAGTCGCTACAATCATTTTTCTAGGCTTCAATACTGGAACAGTGGTAAGTCTGTAGATCGATACTGGACAAATTGGATTTTGAAGATTTTTATGTGTGCAGCAAGACACAGATAGTTCCTTCGGAACTATCAGGCTCTGCATTCTTTAGCCCAAAAATGTACGATTTTCTAGATAATGCAAGGCAAAGGGATTGCATCCACACAACCTTACGTTAATTGTAGTACTGTCATTGAATAAATGTCTCTCTTAAAACTGGCACAAATAAAAAATTGTAAACTTAATTTTAACATTTAAAAAAAAAAATTGTATTTGTATTTTGCTGATTCTTTTATTATATTACAGACCAAATCAAGAGGATTGTCCAGGATCAGATTTTTATAAGAGTACTACAACCATGGGAAGATCAGACGAAGTTGATGTTACTAAACTGAGAACTCCAGCTCAGACGCAAATCACTCATGTAACACAAATGACTCCAAGCCCAGAAACAACAAGAACAACTCAAACTCAAACTCAGCCACAGATGCAAACAACACAAACTAGGATTACAAATCCATGGACACCAGTAACTGAAACTAAAGGTATGTGAAGAATAGTTTAAAGTAAATGGTGATAACTTATACTTGAATATATTAACAATGATATTATTATCCAGCTACTGCAACAAGTAATACTGCTTCGACAAAGTCTGAATGGACAAGCAGCAGTGTAGCTTGGACTCCAAGCCTGAGTACAGACACAGATACAAGTAGAACTAGTTTTGCAAGAGGTATGTGCAATTTTAAGTATTTTGTTGGTTTTTAGAAAAGAAATAAAGTAATCAGTTTATCACTATGCTACTTAGAAAAATAAAAAATACAAATCTTGTTGATATTCATTCAACTAAATCCTTTGATTTATCTTATTGCACTAAATGATATATCAGTTTTTATATTTTTCAATATATGAGAATACCTCAGTTAAATGTAATTGATATGCCTGAAACAAACAATTTGTGTATTAACAACATTACCAATTTGCTTTTTACACATTAAAGAAATAAATTTAAAAAATAGAAGTTCTCAGCCTCTGGATGGTTTGATTAGTTTGTAAGGCTTGGAATGGGTCTTTCATAATTTAATTGTTCATCATTCTTCTGATCTTGATGTTTTATGAATCCACAATATTCACTAGTACCATGTACATACTAATATGCGAATGATGGCTGAATATATGTTTATAATAAATTTAGAGTCAGTTTCTCAAGTATAAATCAAAGTGAATAAAATACACATTTCATCTGATGATTTAATTTATTCCACTATCTTTCAAATTGTTAGCTTATATCAGTCACACTAATTATATATTACTACGTACAAGAACATTGGTGGAGAAGGAACATAAGAACAAAGGAGGCAGTACCCTTAAGTTCAAGAGATAAGTGATTCTCCACTTCTCTGATTTATACTTTTTTTTTTTTCCTTTCATTGAAATATTTCTAAAAATTCAAAATGTACTAGAAATAAGAATAATATATAACAAAAAGAATATTTTATTGGAGGGTATATAAGAATATTTTAATAATAATAATAAGGCTTAGCGAACCCGAAGGTTCGATGCCGACACCACCAATCGCTTGTTACACACCTCCCTCCACCGTTCGCCGTCCAAACCCAGTCCCTTCAGATCAGCTTTAATGCAATCTTCCCACCTTCGCTTCGGTCTACCCCTCCGACGCTTACCATTCGGCACAGCAAATATTAACCTTTTAGGAATTCTCTCGTTACTAAGCCCAACAACTTTACAAGCCCATTTGATTCGCCGCGATGAAATTACCTCAATTATATTACCCGGATATAGCTCACGCAATTCGGCGTTGTGTAACCGTCTGAACTCTCCGGTTAACTCATCCTTCTTCGGTCCGAATATTCTACGCAATACTTTATTTTCAAAAACCTTAAGACGCTGCTCATCCCTTAATGTAAGCGGCCAAGTTTCGCATCCATAAAGAACTGTAGGCAAGATAATTGTTTTATAGATTCTAATTTTTAAGTTTCGGGACAAGAGGCGCGAACTGAGTAGTTTTGTCACAGAAAAATAACAAGCATTCCCCGCCTTCAGTCTAACTTTAATCTCTTCTTCAATTTCGTTTTTTCTAGTTATCGTAGAACCTAGATACCTAAATTTATCTACCTGTTCAAACATATTACCATCTATATCGATATCACCAGTAGTATCGCCATTTTTGCAGCTAACCATATATTTTGTTTTATCCACGTTTATTTCGAGTCCTAGTTCTTTACCGGCTTTCATTAACGTTGTCGTATTTAGTTTTATAGTTTCAACGTCTTCGCTTAACAGTACCAGATCATCAGCATAGCCCAGCACGGATGTTGTCCCGCCCAGATCCAACCCTTTCTCGGTACGCATTACCTCCCTAATGGCATGTTCTAATGCCAAATTGAACAGGACAGGCGAAAGAGAATCCCCCTGTTTTAAGCCCGAACGAACCTCAAATTTTTCGGACAAATTATTACCGATTCTAACTTTATTGAGTGTCTCCGTCAAGCACATCCTGACTAGATTTACTAGTTTTTTTGGAATTCCCTGCTCGATTAGAATATTATACAGTTTCTGGCGGTCAATAGAATCGTAAGCCTTTTTAAAATCTATATACAGCTGGTGAACAATACCGTTATACTCCAATTTTTTCTCTAATATTTGCCGTAAAGAAAATATTTGATCAATAGTCGACCGATACCGTCTAAATCCGCATTGGTAGTCTCCGATAATTTCCTCGGCGTATTCCGTGATTCGACTGGTTAAGATTTCAGTGAATATTTTATAGCATACCGGAAGGAGTGAAATTCCTCGATAGTTATTACAATCCGTCCTCGGACCCTTTTTGTGAATCGGAATAAGAATAGATTCTTTCCATTCTTCAGGTAATTTCTCGTTCACCCAGATCTTTTCAACCAAGCGATGTATTTTAGAAACTCCAGCTTCCCCGCATGCCTTAATTAGTTCAGTAGGAATATTATCGATTCCCGCTGCTTTATATGATTTTAATTTACCGATAGCTACTTCCACTTCCTCTTTACTTGGTCCTTCTATCAACGGTTCAGCACTCTGGTACTCAGAAGGAGGACACAGATCATAATTTCCCGTATTTAAAATATTGTCAAAGTGGTCCTTAAACTTATTCAATATGTCAACCGGATCGGTCAGAATATTGTTATTATCATCCCTAATTCCAGACGTTACGGGCCCTACATATTTACGTGATCTGTTTATACCTTTGTACATGTCTCTTACGTTATTTTCGATTCTATTAGTTTCTATTTCAATTATTTTATTTTTGAGATACTCCCTTTTTTTATTTTTGAGCAATTTTGTCGTTTCGTTCTTTGAGATTCGGAAGTATTCCAGATTGTCTTCGCTAGGATTATTTAGAGCTTTTAATTTAGCGGCTTTCCTTTTTTCGCACATGTTTAAGCAATCTTCATCAAACCACGGTTTGTTATTCTTATTTTCCTTTTTTCCTAGACACGAGTTACCGACCGCTTTAATATTATCCCTGATCTCTACCCATAACTTGTCAATATCCTCGTGGTCCTCGTCAGGAAGCTCTAAAGCTTCAAACCTATTCTTAACATCTAGCTCGAATTGGTTTCTAATTGATGGATTTTTTAATTTTTCCAAATTAAAATTCTCAAAATCGAAACGGTTTTCTTTTCTCTTTTTTATATTAAGTTTTTGTCGAAGTTTCGCGATTACTAATTCATGATCCGACCCACATTCTGCTCCGCGATAAGACCGTACATTGATTATACTGCTTTGCCAGCTGTGTTGTATCAAGACATGATCGATTTGATTTCGTGTTTGCGAATCCGGCGATGTCCAAGTATATTTATGAATATCCTTACGTTTGAACGTCGTACTTTTAATTACCAGGTTTTTCGAGATGGCAAAGTTTATCAGACGGATCCCATTATCATTACTATATTCGTGCAAACTTTCTTTACCAATCGTCGGAATATAAACTTCCTCCCTTCCTACCTTTGCGTTCGCGTCACCTACAATTATTTTCATGTAGTTTCGCGGTAGTTTATCATAAACCCATTCGAGTTTATCGTAAAATTCACTTTTGACTTCATCGTCACTGTCTTCGGTCGGACAATGTATGTTTATTAATGCGATTTTAAACCAACGTCCCTGAAATGTAGCTACCGAAATTCTATCACTAAAGAATTCTACGTCCCTCAAAGCGGATAGTAATCTACTCCTAATTAGAAACCCGGTACCTAAACAATGATTCCCGCTTCCTCCGTACCAAATAGTGTACTTTCCTTCCCTCATCGAGCCCTCCCCTGGCCAGCGAACCTCTTGCAGAGCCACGACATCCAAATTGTACCCATTTACCTCATTCGCGACCGATTTTAGCCCCCCTGCTGTGTTTAAACTCCTTACGTTCCACGTACCAATATTTAAATCCCTATATTTCAACTTGCGGCATGAATCCCCTAAAGCAGTCCCCACCCGGAGACCCGAACGGGGGACTAGTTTACCTCCGGATAATGAGCGTTTTACCTTAGGGAGATCCATGACTTTTTGTGGTGTTTGGTGAACTAAAGATATGTGAGTAGGGCGTTCAATCCTACGTCACACCCTCCAGCAAGTCTGGTGGGCCCCTACCTCCAGCAAGTCTGGAGGTCCCCTCCCTCCAGCAAGTCTGGAGGGCCCCTCTCATTGTTGGTCAGCGAGTCCATCGGACTTAGCCGGGAGGAACTTCCAAGGAATTTCCACCGACCATCCCCACATCCGCCACCCGTGGGACGCTCCCCATACGCGGTAATGAGCCCGCGCGAGGAAGAATATTTTAGGAAAAATATATTATTACATACATGGGGAAATGTTTCGGAAGTAAAGTGATGTAAGTAGAGAGAGAATTCAGTTACAGGTAGAGAATAGAAAAAATCAGTTTAATTGGTGTAAAAATTATGTTTTATACAATTTTGTTTTTATACTTGCCATTGTAAGCTGTGAGTTATTATATATTTTTGTTTACATTTTATTTTATTGAATTTACTTTGAATGAATTAAAAAGTAAATAATCTAAAACAAAAACATTCACATTACAGGTATTACATGGACATCAAGTGAGGCTCCAATATGGAAAGTTTCAGGATCATACCAGAATCAGAATGCTTGGCTCCCTTCATCAAGACCAATGGACAATGCCATTGATGAACCAAACCAACAGGGTCTTGGTTCTGGATTTGAGGGTGGAAATGGATCAGCTCTCATCAGTTTATCTATCAGTTTACTTATAATTAGTCTTCTACAACAACTTATCATAAGATAGTCAAGCTTAAATGGTTCAGATAAAAGGGATTTTAACTTATATAATTTTCTTTTCAATAGACCATAAATATGATTAGACCATTATGCTAAATACTGAACAGCAATCTTGTGTGAATAACTGAAAAAAATGTTCAGCTTTAAAATTCAATCAGAGAAGTTGTATTTTACTGGTAAACTTTAAATAATGGTTAAAAGAAAATCTTTATTTGCTAAAAAAAAATATTACAGTAAATAATTGCGCCTTAACTTCAGTGAAAGTTTGTTTTAATATGATCTGCATTAAAGTCAAATTCCTAAATATAAATTATGGTTAGTTTGAATCATACAAATAAGCGCAATAACATCAAAATTACAATTACCTTCTCTATTCTCGAAACAGTTTCAGATAAAAAATCTCTTTAAGTAGTTCATTTATAAAAGCTCATGAATGAAAAGTTAAGATATAAGTTAATGTAATGTATGATCTTTGCATAAATTATGTTTAATCAACCTGAAAAATGGAATGAACTTTTTAAATGTATATTTGTTTATAAATATTTTTAAAATAAGTATTTTTAAAATGTTACAAAACGTTCAACAGATCAAACAAAATAAAATATATAAACTTAGAAATATAGATTAGTTTCCTAATAGGATCTAACTATTGTTGAGTAGGATTTGATAAATTATTACATTACCTTGAGGAAGAAAACCAGATCTCTATGAATTTATTTGTACTTATTCAAACAATGTTTTGTTTGCCCCTACTATCAACTCTGGGCATTCATGAAGTACTCTATTTTACAAGTTAAGACTATTTCGATTATATCTATTTAAGTGTTATCTTGACCCAAATATAGAGGAAAAAGTTGATCTAAAACAACCATAGACTGTAATTGGTTGATACAACCAAAAATATTCATGCTAAAAGTATGAGATTCAAATAATATAATCCATATTCAAATAATCTTAGTTTGAGTAACTTCACTATTTCATTGTAGCTTACTTAAACTGGTACTGTTCTTTACTTTTTATGTTAATTCTATAAAATATTAATTATTATATGTATTTAGATTAATTAACATTTTATTTCAAAACCGAAATGTTAGCAGTGATGTTGTTTTTGCCTCTATTGCCAGTTTTAAATGAATAGCTTTCTCTTTTATCTTCCATTTTATTATCATAAATATAGATATTAAATTATGTAATTATAAAATAAAATTGATTAGTAAAACTACAAAACACTCATTTATTGAGCAATTAATTGATGTAGTTAAGTGAATAATAGAATTTATATTGGTCACAGTATCTTTATAAATATCTAGGATATCATTGTGATAAAATAATTATTTGTAATTAAGAAAAAAGGTTACAGAACTGCTTTTTTGAAAAGTGAATTTTATCAAGAAAATGTAATTTTCTATGTAACTCATTGTATGTTGTAAAGTTACCACAATAAATATACTAATATTGCTTTTTTTTTATTTCTGTTAATTAAACAATCATCCCATCATTTACCAAGTTTTAAAGTAAAAAGTAAAACAGATTAATAGTTTAAATAGTGAATTACATTAAAAGAAAATAAATTTTAGGAGTAAAAAAATATATTAAAAAGTTAGAAATGTATTAAGAACCTTTGGATTCAACTATAAAAATATGTTGTCCAGAAAAATTGAACTGGGCAGGTCATTTATTGAGAAAGGAAAATACCAAGGTTTTAAAGAAAATAAGAACAGAATACTACAATTGGCAAGGGGAGTTAGATGTTCAAATTTAGTAGGACAGATAAAGGAAAAATAAATGCAAAAAGATTTTGGATCATTACATATTGAAAATTGGCTGACAACAACAGATATGAATGGTATTGTAACATTATAATAATAATGGGTTAATTAAGCTTATGTTGAAATATAAATATTGTGAAGGTAGCAATGGGGTATGGGGGTTCTCATTTGACAGATAATGATTGTGGTATGTTTATTAATGTCTGGCTGTTAAGATATAAATAAACAAAAAGGCTTAGCGAATCCAAAGGTTCTGATGCCGACACCACCAATCTGTTTTTAAATATTCCATATATTTTTACAAATTCCACAGGTTTTTAGTACATTCAACAATTTTGTTCGCCGCAAATGTAATCATCTCAATTACATTAACCAGTTTATATTAACTTCATGCAACTCTGTGTTATGTAATGTTCGGTCCGAATATTCTACGCAATTTTTTATTTTCAAAAATCTTATGGCTTTGCTCATTACCCAAAGAGGCCACATTTAATATCTATTAAGGACTGTGATTAGGAAAAAGGTTTTGTAAATTCTAATTATTAAGTTTTAGGAGGCGCAAGCTAACCAGTTTCATTACAGAAAAATAACAAGCGATTCCTGTCTCCAGACAGTGAAGATAAGACAATGCCTTATTTTTGTTTTATGAAGTGTATTGAAGGCATTCACTTGTAGCTTGCACTTTTTATTTATCTTTAACAGATTATGAGATTTCATTAAAAAGTTTTTGAGGCATAGGTCAACAACGCCCTATCAAAAACAAATCAAAGTTTTGTATACTCTTGCTTTAGTCTGCCTTGTGAGTAATTGGCTTCTGATCTGCCTCCTTAAGCCAAAAAAGCAACAGTTGGCTACTGCTATCTTATTTCCTTCGACATGTCATTGGTTGACGCCACAAGGGAACCGAGGTAAGTAAACCCCTGCACTCTCTGAAATTTGTATGGTTCTATTTCTATGGAACTTTCTCCTTGCTCAACTCCACCACACCACCACATAGTTTTGGCCTCATTTATTTCAAGGCCCAACAGCGAGGCTGCCTGTTAGATTGTCAGAAAAGCACTACTCAGCTCAGATTTCGATCTTGCAATTATGTCAATGTCGTCAGCAAAGGATCAAAGCAAATAGTTCCTCTTGTGTGAACTTCTGAATGTCTTACTGCCTTTTCAAGCACTAAAATGCATAGCAGACATGACAAACCATCCCCTTGTTGTGACCCCTTAATGGCCTGAAATTCTCTTGAGTACTCTCCTTATATTCTTATGACATTCCTCACATCATGCATGGTCATCTTAACAAAGCGGATAAGCCTCCTGGGAATGCCAAATTCTTCAAGCGCCCTGTAAATTTGGGAGCGATTGATGCTATTGTACACATTCTTAATTCTACGAAAATATGGTAGGTTGTCATATTATAGTCAATCCCCATCTCCAAGATGGTCAGAGAAAAGATCTGGTCCACTGTGGATTTCTTACTTCTAAAGCCAGTCTGGTACTTTCCTATTATTTGTTCAGTATAGGGACACAAGCGATTGAAGAGAATTCCGGAAAGAATTTTGTATGCTGTTGGTAAGAGCGATATTCCTCTATAATTTTTGCAATCAAGCCTATCTATCACCCTTTTTAATAAATAAGTGAAATTCCTGATAGATGGATTGAAACATTTTATAAAGAGTTTGATGAACTTCCGAAAACCAATCCATTACAGACGGAATCTCTTCCCGAATCCCCAGCAAAAAGTTTCTCCACTGATAGCTTTGTTTTTGCGTGAGTCAATTTCGTTAATTGCTTTGTAGTCAGCCCGTTATTCAGATTAGGGCTTTGGCTTTAATGATTGTTTATGCTTTTTTCTCTATATTTGGATGGACAAGACTTGCAGTTCTCTCACTTGATTGTAAATAATATATGGTGTGTATTATGTAACCATTATGTATTATATGGTGTGGATGGTAACTTTATTGTAAAGATAAAAAGGATATGGATGCAAGTCTAAATAATTCCAAGAGGGTCGATCTAGGTCAGAGAGTATGGGTTCTGAGATCAGGAGGCACAGCCCAGGAAGCAGTAGTGGCCTCCGTGATGTCTGATAAAAAGTTCATCAAGGTAGAGTGGCAGGGTGAAGATGGCCAAACATTGGGCAAAACAGTACCAATTGATGAAGTGTTTCCTAGTTTGCACGAAACAGCACAGACATCCGGAGAACCTAGTGGGGAAATAAAAGTGAGGAAAGAAGACCCTTCCTCAGAGGTTAATGACAAAGTATGCCCCATTTGTGGGCTGAGTTTCAAGGGTGATAGAGGTCTCAGAACCCATATAGCTAAAAAGCATCCCAGGGAGGCAAATGACGCTAGAATGAGGGGCTTGATTGGTAATATAGAAAGGGGAAAAAATGTAGAGGATGAGGAAGAGGGAGTAAAGAATCAAATAGCAAAATGGTCGGCTACCTTCCAGAAATTTGGTCGGCAAAACAATGTGGATAATATGGAATTCGATGAGGCAGTGGGCAATTTTCTAAAATTTCTAAAAACAATCAATGAAGAATTGCCCGGCCCACAGCACCCTGCCGTCAAGTTCTATAAGCTAAGACGGAAAAACAAGATTGATATGGTTGGCAAGGGTGCTGGAAAAGTGTCCAATCCACAGAGGGCCAACAAGGCAGATAGGAGTCGTCGGCAAGAACAATATCAATATGAGGTAGCCCAGTACAATTATTATAACAGAAGAAAGAAAGTGGTGCAGAATATTATGAACGCCGACGCTCCTAAGCAATGCCCTCTGAAGGTAGCCGAGATTGAAGGCCACTTCAGAAGCCTCTTTGAGAAAGAAAATCTCTGCAAACGTGCGGACTACGAGAATTGCGCCCCGACGCCAAATCTTACATCCATCGATGTCCAAGTAGTAAAAAAGGCGATCAAATCAACGTCATTGGACACATCACAGGGGCCGGACGGAGTTTTGGTCCGCACGATTAAATTCTTTGATGTTTCATATATCATAAAGACCATTGCGGAGATCATGCTGAGGGTGGCATATGTACCGGAGCCTTTACGTCAGGGGCGCACAATCTTGGTATACAAGGGTAAAGGAAATATCAACAGCATATCATCATGGCGACCCATTACCATTTATTCAATTGTGCGCCGAATTATTGAGAAGGTTCTGGACCATGAACTGAGAAAACAGATCACCTTCAGCAAAAATCAGAGAGGCTTCATCAGAGGCCTACCGGGAGCACACGTAAGCGCCAGAATTATCGACGCAATCATAAAAGACGCCAAGAATAAAAAGAAAGATTGCGCGGTAGTGTTTTTGGATGTCATTGGCGCTTTCGACAACGTTGGTCACGAACATATAATCGGCTCACTAGAGGCAAGAGGAGTGTCACCAGACCTGAAGAACGTAATTGCGGCTCTCCTAGGTTCAAACCAAATCAAGATTGGGATCGGAGCCCACTCGACTAGCTGGATCAAGGTGCGGCGAGGAGTACCCCAAGGCGGACCCTTGTCGCCCTCGCTGTTCAACCTGGCTATAGATCATCTGTACCGCGACCTGTGTGAGCAAGAATTTGCCAACCGCTATGGGTATAAATTAAGCAGCGACCAAGAATGTGTGGTCCTCACAGGCTTCGCGGATGACCAGGCTGTTACAGCGTGTGACAAGGGTGCTGCAGAGAGGATTGTTAATGGTGTGCAGAGGATCCTTGCCGAGATCGGTCTAGCAATAAATCCGCAGAAAAGCGTGGGCTTGATAGTCGAAAAAGGAGAGCTGCAACAAACAAAGCTCTCCCTAGAGAACGGAGAAGTGATAGCATCAACAAAGCCAGGTGAAACTATAAAGTATTTAGGATGTGCGTTCTCGGGAGAGCTGGTATTAAATGAGGAAATGGTGACAAAATTAAACAACAACTTGGACAAATTGGTTAGCTCTTGCCTTCTTAAGCCGGAGCAGAAGATCAACGTTGTGAACCAGTACGTGTTCCCGGGACTTACTTACCCTCTTCAGACGGCGCCACTCACAAAGATACGTCCTGCGATATTGGAAGGAATTGATACAAATATCCGCAGGAGTGTCAAGGCCATTATCGGGCTCCCTGCTAATGCATCAACGGCGATGTTTTATGCACCGAGGAGGTTTCGTGGATTGGGACTGATGCGCTGTCAATGGGAGGCTCCTTTGCAGCATTGGTCCATTGCCCAGCGGCTGTCTAATGTGCCGGATTCCCTGTTCCAGCCCACATTTGATTATAATGCGGAAATCGCGGAATGTGCGGAAAGACTGGGAGTGGATCAGGGCCACCGAAGCGTGAGAGCTCTACGACAGTCGCTGAGAGAAAATTCTTTTGAAGAGTGGGCCAGCTGCAGGTGGCAAGGCGTTGGAGTTCGACACTTTAAAGAGACCCCGAAAGCCAATAAATACATATGCCAGAAAAAAGTGCTTTCGGGGTCGGAATGGTCCAACGCATTAAAACTAAACATCAATTACGCACCTTTACGCGGAGTCCCAGGAGCCAGTGGACAGTCGAAGGAAGTTGGGTCACTCTGTCGTAAATGCGGCAGAGAGTCGGAAACACCAGCCCATGTGCTGGGAAAATGCCCCAACAATTCCCTCCTCATAACACGCCGGCACCATAGGGTAAAGTTCGAGGTGATGAGGCTCCTTAGAGAAAAGGAATTCACCTGCTTTGACGAGGTCTATTGCATAGACAGTGAAGGCTCTACAAGATATGCGGATATTGTCGCGTTTCCCAGAACAGGAAGGACAGCGCTAATCTTGGATCCAACTGTCCGCTTTGAGAGCAACGACCTCGATCAGGCGGGTGAAGTGGAAAGGGAAAAGAGGAATATATACGAAAAATGCATCCCTTTCCTAAAAGAGAAATTCCACGAGACCTTCGGAGAGAGAGAGTTCACCGTGAGAGGCCTCTGGTTTGGGTCTCGCGGAACGATCCCGGAAAGAACAAGGAGCTTTCTCGAAGAACTAGGTGTTGATGTTGGGGAGCTCGCGGTATTGGCCGAAAATATTATTTTGGACTCCCTGGGAATCATCCACTATCATATTTATACCGATTGAGGACATCTGGTAATAATTGTTTATTAAATTTTGAATTGATCCGCTGTCGTCCTGTCTTTTTGTCTGCACTCTGGGAATTGCTTATGAGAATTTGTTATGAGAGGAAAGAGGAAAAAGAGAGAAAGAAAGGAAAGATATGACATATATATGTATAAAAAAATAGAAAAATGAAATATAAAATTAATGTCCTTGTGGATTGATAGGTATGCTGTGTACGAAGCAACCCTATGTAGTAGGGCAGCATTACTTTTAATAAAGTATTTCTCTCTCTTGGGCAAATTATTCCCCTTTTCACTCCATTGGTGTCTTTTCATCAACCCAAATTTTGACCAACAAATTATGAAGGTCCTTATGCAATTTTTCACCTCCATATTTAAGGAACTCTACTGTAAGGCCATCCAAACCCAGACTTTTGTTATTTTTCATTCTGTGGATCACTTCCATAACTTCTTTGAAATCCGGAGGGGGTTCATTCTCTTCCTCTGTGTTCTCGTTTCGATTTTCGTGTCTGGCAACTTCTGCGTCTTCCACTGTTGAGTTATTTAGTAGAACTTCAAAGTGACAAATCCATCTTTGCAGAATTTTTTTTTTCTTCGTGAGCAGGGAACTTACAGAATTATTATCATTAACATATTCAAAAATATTTATAATGTTAACTATTTAGATCACTATACTTATAATTTATACAAAGAATTTGAGTCTGACATTACTGCTCTTTTTAAAGTACAAAGAATACAATGTTTCTTAGAAAATAAAAGGAAAAGTTTGGTAACGCTAGAAAAATGTTATATTGTAGAAGAGACAGAAGTTTAAAAAAAAATTAGTTTTAAGGTACTATTTGGCTGGTACAGCCAAGCATGCTGACTGCTAGCAATTAAGCACTGCTTTAGTGGAATGGAAAAGGTGCTATTTTGCTGGCACAATGGTCAGTACCAGCAAAATAGTACAAGGTATTTCTTTCAAAATTATTTAAAGCGTGCAATTCCAAATAGTTCAAGGGTGTATAGCAATAAAGAATAAAATGAGAATCAAACAAATCATTGGGAAAACTTGAACTTTAAAATGAATGGATTTGAGATGCTGGAGCAACTCAGCATATGGTTAGTGATAGACAATAGTTATCAGAATTCACTCTTTCACTTAATCAGAGATAAAAAAGTAATCATGCTGAATGAATAGGGATCGTTACGATGCTTTAAGTATTGGTGATATAAATTAGAGGCCTGTAGTGTCTTATCATTTATATATTTAATTATTTGAATCGTGTGTTATCTGTAACCTATCTTTAGTCAATATTAACATATGATATAATTGTTAAATTTCTTCTCATGATATTTGCAAGTGTTAAAACAATGTTACTTTCACTACCTATACATGTAATTATATAATCGCAAAGTATTGCGTTGTTACAGTTTTCAATGGAAATACACATTTTGAGGTCCCCTGAGTCCAAATAACCAATTCCCGCAATATGGTCTGTGTGTGTGTGTGTGTGAACAGTCTAGCTCAAACACAAATAATCGTATGACACTGATATATTCTTATCATTTATATACTTAATCATTTTCTATAATGATATCATCAAAATGTTCATTTTCATTTTTAGAATCACAAAGGAAAGGCTGCCATTGCATCATCTCTTTTATGAACTACATAGGCTTGCTGGTCTTTGATAGTATATGGGTTGCCCAGAAGGGGGTTTTATGGCGCAAGTTGCATATTACAACAATTTTTCATTGGCTTGACAATGTTTGACTGGCATGAGAAGTTATGGAAAAAGTGTAGTAGTTTGTGCAGGAGAGATTGAGCTAGATGTAGATGATAAGTTTAAGTCTAATAGTTCTAGAAAATTTGTGATTTTACAAAATATAAATATGTCATAATAAGTTTACACAGACTTCCCTTCTGTGTTATTGGTTTTGTAATTTCAACGTAATTAAATCAGGTTATCATTAAGAAAGAAATAACACAGCAGTTTAATATATATTTATTGACTATAATGCTTAAATGTTTATAACAAGAACCCTACCTAATAATTTATGGGATGAAAATAAATCACCAACTACTTCACAGCACCATTAGTACTAGTAATAAGTTATTGATTTTAATTATCTCAGTCTTTTGTTATTTAAAAAAAAAAATATATTACAACTTGTTTGCACATAATATATAACCCCTGTTAATATCTGAGCCTTATTTTAATTAATTAAACAGAATGATTCACTTTAGCATTGAAAAATATTAAATATTGAAACATTTCGAAATGAATCACTTACTCAGGTCATTTAAAGTTTATTTTAATTATATAAAAAAAATAAATTATTTAAACAGTGATGAGAAAGTGATTTATTTTAACATGCAATTCATTCTACTACATGCTTCATTAAGATGAATCACCCAGTACACTAAATTTGATAAACTCTAAAATGTTTCATAGATAAATATAAATTTATAATTTTTAAAATATCTATTTGAATAAAAGCACAGTCACACTGGAAAAATAAATAATCTATCACGAAATCTAACACTGCTCAATCCCACCAAAACTTAAGATACAATGTACTAATTATAAAGGAAACAAATGGAGTTTTAAGTAAATATTTATCTTCCTTTTTTATTAATATTATAACATTTTTGCTATTAAATGTATATCATATAGTTTTAAATATAAAATAACTATAGTACTGTTAAAAATATATATATATATATGATTTAATTGAAAATATGATTTTTTTTAAAACAAATATTAATTCCAATAATTATGTACCATTTTTTTTGAAAAATAAAGAACAGGTTAAAAATGATAATTTCACAATTATATTATCAAATAAATTGTGCTATGAAGCAGAAGCCAAAAAAGATTCTTATAATTAAGCCAGTGGTAACATAGAATATCAGTCCAGTGACTAAGAACTGATTAATATCTTTGGGAGTTCAAAAAATAGACTACAAATAGGTGAGAAAACATTAAATGCATCTCAATAAATATATTGATTGTAAAAGTAAATGCTTACTATTATAAAAAAAATTAAATAATTAAGGGCTGAATTTAAAAAAAAACTAATAAAGATAAATATAAAAAAAGGACTTGTTTAACAAGACAAAAAGTTTCTTTTAGAAAGAACATATTTAATAAACTGAATCATTATTAATTATGCTTTAATATCACAGAAAAGATGTGCCCAATGAGCACTACAATTTTTTCAATTTCTACAAAAATAGATTGAAAACAAGTAGTGTACAAGAAGGTCTTTTAAAGAATAAGTTAGCTGTACAAATAAGAGTAAAACTATGATAGAAAACAGAAATCAATATTTTTCATTAAAAGGAAACGCGTATTATATACATATAACAATAAAATAACTATCGTTGAGTAACTGTACACGACTGGGATCAATTCAGTAACAACCTCTTCAACACACCTAGAATCTCTTAAGGTGCATAAAATAGTAAGTATTAATGAGACAATTCTGAGTAACAGCTTTAATCTTCAAGCAAATTGTCTTCAGTGGGTACTAATGTATTTTGCCTTTCGATAAATTGCTCTTTTGCATAGTTCACCTGTTGAGATACCTGAAACAAAATATTTAAACAATAAAACAACATAGGTCTACGACACCTATAATCTCCCTTAAATATTATTGATTCAACAGATGGATAATTGATCTATCGTTTTTTTAATTTATTTTTAAAAATAAAATGTAGCCATTATTTTTATTTTTAAAAATGAAATGTGGCCGCTTATATTAAGGAATGAGCAATGTATTTCGGATTTTGATGGTTACACAACACCGAATTGCATAAACTGGTTACAGTTAATATTGTTCAGGTGATTATATTGCAGGTAATAAAATGGCTGCATAAAATTGTTGGGCTTAGAAAATGAAAGAATCCATAAAAAATGAACATTTGCTGTGCCGACTGGTAAATGTTGGAGAGGTAGACTGAAGCAAAGGTTATTACTGAAGGAGATTGGGTTAAGGCTGATCTAGCTGGGCTGGATTTGGACGGCAATCAGTGGAGAGAGGTGTGTAGATAGAGATTAGAGGTGTCGGCCCCGAACCTTCGGGTTCGCTAAGCCTTTTTATTATTATTTTTAAAAATGTACTTAAATTATTTTAAAAAAACAATGAAACTTGATAAAAGTATTCAATTAATAATATCCTAAAGTATTTATTAAAACTAGTAGACCAGTGCAAAAAATTCGCACAGTATATTGTTCAGTGATCAAATGCCAAATTCATAAGAAAATAAAATAATACAACGTATCAAAAGATAAAGAAATCAATTGTTACTTTATCGATAAATATAATCGACAAAGGAAACAAAAATTAATTTAAATCTTCATTTTTGTTTGCAAACCAACATGTTTACGAATTTTAATATGCTGTATCTTTGCTAAAAATTGTCCGATTTCGATGATTTCTGTTTTCCTTTTGTAGGGAATTTAGTAATCTTTCATATAATCATGGGAATAACGTGTGTGAGACTGCGAACCCTTTGCCTTGCGTTATCTCGAAAATAGTACGTTTTTGGGCCTAAAAACACAGGACCCGATAGTTTGGGAGGAACTATCCGGGTCTTACTGTACCCATCAAAATCTTCAAGGTCCAATTTGTCCCATATCAATCTACAGACCTACCACCGTTCCGGTATTGAAGCCTAGCAAAATGTTTGTATCGACTTTATTTATTTTAGAAAGAAAAACAAAAGTGGAGAATACGATTCGCTAACCCCCCATGAAATTCTGAAGCAAATGGTACCCCATTCATGGTATTAGAGGATGACAGGAGCTTATATTTGGTACAAAACCGATTTCGAGCCTTACTGTAATAATATATGTTGGGATTTCAAAAATTCATAAAAAATGTTTAAATGGTTTAAGAGATGAGAATACAGAACTTTTTTTCAGAATAATTCTAAAATCCCTCGAGTATTTTATATAGTTTAGGGTCAATTATTTTAACTTAGGCAGCCAAGAGTTCTAATACAAATCTTCTAAATAAGAAGTAAGGCTTCTTATTAATTCCTAAATATTTATAATTTAAAAAAATAAATGACCTGAACAGTTCATGAAGGACATAATGAAATATTGTTTACCCATGAAACTTTACATCAAATACATACCCATACAGCTATCGCCTCTGAATCACATCTTATACGAGGCCCCTCCTTTCCATCTTGAGCAATTAGAGAAGTGTTTCCTTGATCTGCCATCCTTAGTTCGATATAAAAAACAGGACCTGCATTGATATTATTCCCAGCTATAACCAAAGGTCGGCAGTCTTCTAATTCTCTGTAACATTTTAAAAAATCTGTAAAGACTGAAATTGTGATTTAACTAGTATAACAAAAATATTCAATAGCTTCATTAAGTGTAATATTAAATAATTTAATGAATAAAATATAACAAACAGAACATATTGTAATGGATTTCTAATTATAAATAATTAATATTTTAAATAACAAAATGAAAAGATGTAAAACTGAAAAGTCTAGTCATAAAGTAATTTATGATATATAATTGTAAGTTTAAATAACGTAATTATTTAACTTAGTACAAGAAAAGAAGGAATTGATTTTATCAGCTGCTTAAAAAAAACACACTCATATAAATTTATATGGCAACATCTAGGTCCTATCACACACAATTCCTTAAAATTTCATCAAAATTGGATAACTATTAGAGGTCAGTGAGTCTTAGTCTGTGGTGTTTGTAGTCACATAGATCTGTCGACAGTCAGATCTACTTACACAGATGCGTAACCAAATTTCTTATATTTCTAAAACAATATATACAAGTGGGAATTCTTGATTTTGAAGAAAAAAATTTGCGCCCTATACGAGTAAAAAGTTTCTCTATCTTCGATAGTGAGAAAGCAGAAAATATTGTTCTAAAAAAAAAATCGGTGAGTCAATTGTTTCCCAATGATCCTTTATAACAAAAAAGAATGAAATCAAGCTTTCAATCAGATAATCTGATTAGTAAAAAAATAGTATAGAAATAATGTAAGCATGGATCTCAGATCTGTTGCAATGTGATAATTATGGAGGGTTAATATGACCTGGATATTATTTAAACTTAATAATGTCTTCTTTCTAAACATACCCCAGCTGTCTCTCCACAATAATGGTAGTAGCATTGGAATTGGGGTTGCAACTAAAGACACGAACATTTTCACTAGATATTACTATCCTTAAGTCTTCACTTCCGCTCCTCAGAACTTCATAGGCCATAAACCTGAAAATAAGAGGGATATATAATTTTTTATTTTAATCGTATATGCTAATATTCTAGCAATTTATAAAACTTACAATCTTTTGCAGGAATACAACATTAACTTTACCCATCCCTTGTTAATGATAATTATTACTTCAAATGTATATATTTATTTTCATATTTATTAAAGGAGAAAAAGATTATGTAAAAATAAAGAATCAGAGGTATATAAAAGTGAGTTTAATTTAGTAATAATTTTACAAGATAAGAGATAGATATATAAGCTATTAAAACAACTCACAATATAAAATATTGAGTAACATTTACTATTAAGAAGCATAAAGAAGACTGCCTTTTAGCTATACTTACAGTTCGGAATATTTTCTATTGTTTATCGAATAAAGGAATTGTTGGCCTTGGCTCTGCTTTTTACTATACGGAGGTAAGAAGCCAGACGGACTTGTAACACATCTTGGAGGTCTTTTTCTTTTAGGAATCACCTTACTAGAACTGAAAGATATATTTTTTTATTGACTAAAATATACTCAGGATTAGATTAAATATTCATAATACTTCTTAATATTAATCCATAAAAAATTCATTCCAAAATTATTTCCTCCACTTTATTAGAATAAAATTACAAAACAATAACAGTTAAACATTAATAAATTAAACTTAGTAAAATTCTTAGAAATGGTTTTATATTAGTGTGATTAAATTAATATATTAGGAGTCTGGCTGGGATCGTCCACTGTGCAGCATCGTTTCTGTGAAAATTGTAATAGCTATTGTTCGTAGGAGCTTTATTTTGATGAAAATTAGTATCTCGGCTCTAATGTTGTAGTGTAGAGTGTGTATATATATATATATATATATATATATATATATATATATATATATATATATATATATATATATATATATATATATTGTAATGTAAATACTACATAGTGATTTTAAATAGTGGTGCAAAAGCACTGAAGTCACAAACGTTCAAAAATGGACAAAGACAGATAAAAAATGGACGAAGGGGAAGCAAGTGCCATATGTTAAAGGAGAAGGTAGCTTAGCTTCAAGGTTGAAAATATGACTAACAAGTAGTGAGTGTCAATAAAGGAAAATAGAAGATTGTAGAAGTTGAATACAACAATACAGATGAAGATTCACTTCAGAATAGGCTGAGTGGAATATAAATAGTGACAGTTAAAAAGCGCGCTTCTTTCGGATGAACACTACTACAATATATATTATGGATGTATTAACCGCACCCTGAACAGCTTCTTCTTAAATTTGAATTATAGTCAACTATTTGCGTACAATTTTAGAAATATAAATCAGACAGTATACAAATCATATATCATACATACATCAACAAATTCACAACAAATGGTATTATGTTTAACCCTAAATGGTGAGAAGAAATAATAATAAAAGACTTAGCGAACCCGAAGGTTCGATGCCAACACCACCAATCGCTTATTACATACCTCTCTCCAGCGTTTCCCTTCCAAACAAACCCAGTCCCTTCAGATCAGCTTCAACACAATCTTTCCACCTTCGCTTTGATCTACCCCTTGGACATTTACCATTCGATATAGTAAATATTAACCTTTTAGGAATTCTTTCATTACTAAGCCCAACAATTTTACAAGTGCATTTGATTTGTAGCGATATAATCATCTCAATTATATTAGCCAGATAAAGTTCACGCAATTCGGCGTTGTGTAACTCAACTCTCCGGTTAACTCATCCTTCTTCGGTCCAAATATTCTATGCAATACTTTATTTTCAAAAACCATAAGACGTTTCTCATCCCTCAATGTAAGCGGCCACATTTTGCATCCATAAAGAACTGAAGGTAAGATAATGGTTTTATCGATTCTAGTTTTTAAGTTCCGGGAAAAGAGGCATGAGCTAAGTAGCTTGGTAAAAGAAAAATAACAAGCATTTCCCGCCTTCAGCCAAACCTTAATCTCTTCTTTGATTCCGTATTTTCTAGTTATCGTAGACCTTAGATAGCTAAATTTCTCTACGTGTTTCAACACATTACCTTCTATATCTATATCACCAGCAATATCACCATTTTTGCAGCTAACCATATATTTTGTCTTATCTGTGTTTATTTTGAGCCGTAGTTCTTTACTGGCTTCTATTATTGTTTTCGTATTTAGTTTTATAAGAGTTCTACCAATGGGTAGTTTCTCTTCATGTTGTACATGTCATGTTACCAATGTCACATTTACTTTTATTTTTAATGTAATACAGTTGTAAATTTCATTAAAATAAAAAAATAAATAAAAAAATGTTTTATAGTTTCCATGTCTTCGCTTAACAGGACCAGGTCATCCGCATAGCCAAGCACCGGTGGTACTGTCCCACCCAGATCCAATCCTTTTTCGGTACGCATTAGCTCCATAATGGCATGTTTTAATGCCAAATTGAACAGGACAGGTAAAAGAGAATCACCTTGTTTAAACCCAAACGAACCTCAGACTTTTCGGATAAATTATTACCGATTCTAACCTTATTGACTGTTTCTGTCAAGCACAGAAGAAATAAAACATGAAAAATTGTTAAGATCATTTTCATCTACCTATAATATTATACATTGATTGTAAAAGATGATTTTCATCATGAGTAAAACTTAGATAAAAAAAAATAAAATTACCTTCTACTGGAATCTCTGACAGCAGTGGCAGTTTCTGAAGCTAAATCAAGTACACCAACGACAGGTTTGGTAAGAGTCCCAACAAGCCCTTTCCCTAAGCCTGATATAAGACCCTGCAAAGATTAAATAACCATTAAAATAAAATGACTAGGATACATTAAATAATTTAAAACATTTAGAAATATTATTAAATGATCTTCAAGATATCTAAGCATCAATAAGAGAACATATACGAGATTTTCAGAAATTATTTCTGAGCTAATAGATTCTCATTTATGTAAGAAATAAAAAGGGGAAGTTAGGTTTTAACCTGAGTGTACATGAAATATTACTGCTGTTGTCAATTATGAATAAATTTATTCAAAAACAATTATTTCAATTTATGACGACATAAGATAAGATTAAATTTTTGCTTAACCAGTAGTTCAAAATAAATTAAATTAAAACACTATGAAATCAAGGTTAAAATGTATTTGATAATTTAAAGATCTTGAATAATGAGTGTGGAAAGGAAATTTTTTTAAAACCTTTTTAGATCCCTATATGATTAACATGTAAGAAAGTTAATTAAAAAAAAAAATGCTTTTCTCTTCTTGATAACGTACTTAAGTGAATGTGGACCATACAAACCAATAAAATAATCTATTTCTGATCATCAATCTATGATGGTTCATAGTAGAAATGGAAGGAAAAATAAAAAAGCAAAGAAATATCACATTCATAGAAAATTCCATCATGATACCTTTTATGAGAAGGAGTTGATTGGCGGGGTGCAGTCAAATAAATACTAAATTATACAAATAGTGTTATTTAATTTTTTAATACTATTTGTATAATTTAGTATTTATTTGACCGCACCCCTCGATCAACTCCTTCTCATATTATATCATGGTCAACCATCTCTACATCATTATGATACCTTTTAAGTGAATCATCGAACAGAATCAAAAACTATGGATACCACAAATACTTGGATATGGGAAAATATCTTAGAAAAGCCTACCACATAAGAGTTGAAAATGAAGACCTAGAATCACGCCAAAGAAGGGATGGAAAGATAAGATTAGGAGCTTTTTATAAAAAGAAGAGTGAGAGAGGAATTTCCAAGATAAAGATGCATGAATAAAGTTCTACAACAGGATCCTTTATGCTACAGAGGTTTGAGTCAGAAGAGGCGTGGGAAAAAATGAGACCAGTTAATCAGTTATACTAAAAATATGTAAGTAATTTAAGTCAGACTTGAGAAAATGTCTTGAATAAATGTCTTGAGAAAATGTCGCTAAAAGGTTACTTACTGTGAGTGGTAGCCATGACAAATTATGTAAAAATTAGAAGATAAATAAAAAATATAATATAAAAAGAAAACTATGATTAAATCACTAAATGTCGGAAATGGAGATGACTGGAACACACACTAAAAAGACAGAGCCTGGAGAGGAACCCCAAGAACAGTGGCCTAGAAAAGCAAAGAGGTGGAATCTAGAGAAGGAGATATGCGATCCAGCATGGACTGACTAGTCTAACAGCTCCAACGTCAAGAAGCTTATTAGAGATCAAGATGTATGGAAGAACTTAATGACAATCGTATTTCCTACCCAAGGGATTAAAGAAATTCATAATAATAAACAGACAATTTTATTTTTTAATCTAGCTAATTTTGAGCCTGACTAATTATAATGTACATTGTGAATAAGAAATAAATTAGAAGACTGGTGGACAAGAAAATCTAAAAAAAAAAAAAAAAAACAAGAGGACAGGAACAATATACCTAATAGCTTATATAGAAAGTTCAAGTTGTTTTTGGAGTTCTTATTCTAAATAGGAAGCATAAAAAGAACAGTTAAATTAAATTATATTTTATTTCCTTCATCCATCATAAATAGTGAAAAAATTTTTTCCAAAATTATTTTCAGTAACGATTACATGTTTTGTATGTATTCCTAACTTTAATTAATAGATGTTCAATTAAATAATTTAATAAAATAAAATGACTGTAAATGTAAAGAGATATCAGAATTATATTAATTTTACACTATATACAATTATTTTCACATTTTAAGGAGTACTTACTACATTTAGGTAACTGGAGTAGACAATATACAGTTATATGTTTCTCAAAAGTAGGTTAATTGATCATAAAAAAAAAATTTTCTATGACTAGGCAATAGGCAGGTATATTGAAAAGCTGAATAGCAGTTACATAGTTGTAGTATTCACCCCTTGATGAAAAGCATAAATTCCAATTACCTGAAAGCCATCTGATGCAGCACCATCATATGTTTGCCTAACTAAAGAAGTAACACCACCAAGCAAACCAAATCCAAGCCCCTTCAGACCAGCAACTAGATGTTCTCCGCTTGATCCTGACTTCACTGTCCTTATCCTCTGACGTATCTCTTCATGACGGTCATCCAAAATAACTCGACACATTCCGTCACCAAGGGTTTCTGGTAAAATAATAGCAACTTTTTATTGTTGATGCAACATCAAATTTGAAAGAAAAAAAATATATATATATATATATATTTCCTCATTCTCAAATAAGACAAACTACAATCAATTTTACCAAAATAGGCCAGTAAGGGAGAGAATGGATTTATTCATATTAGATAAATTTATTAAAACAGAACAACTGTGGTTTGATAGAAAATTTAATTCACTTCACTGTATTTTGTAATTTAATTATAATTAACTTGTTAAAAAAAATAACAAAAATCCATGGCTCAACATCTATAAAAAAAGTACAAGCCCTTCTGAATCAGATACTACCGTAAGGTAATAGAACTATTAAAGGTCCATAGCTGTAAGCCAAATGGTTAATTCCCAAAACCTCAATCTTGGTTTTATAGTTTACTTTTATAATTTTTCTTAATGATTTAATTTATTAAGAAAGTAAGAATCATAATCAATAAAATATTACAAAAATAACTATAAAAATATAAATAAATCAGACTTTTCCATCAACAACAGTGTTAAACACTTCTTTAGAATAATTAAGAAAATTCTTACCTGTGACTTTGGCTGCAGAATTTGATAACCCATGAGCAACATTTTTAACAAGGGCTCCAACATTTCCATCATATATCAAACCAGATACACCTTCAGAAAGATCGCTAACAAATCCGATAGGATTTCCGAGAAAATCAACAGACCCCAAAATAATTCCAGCTTGCCATTTTAATTCCTAATGCATATTAAAATTAATTAAATAACAAAACTTTTTTTGTTATTACTTCAGTATTTAGAACACTGACAAATACTAAATTAATTTGTATACATAAATTTAACACTACTTACATCTTTATAATGTTGAATGATGGAATTTATCAAGATCTGATTACTTTCATATGAATGCTGACGAAAGAATGGTTGTAATTCCACATTGGCATCTTCAAATTTTATCACAGTAAAGCCTAACTGTCTCTTGATAAGCTGCAATTCCGGATTCAATTTATTGCATGTAATAAAACTCAGTCTCACCTAAAACGAAGTCGAGAATAAACATCATATGTTTTATTATGTTATAATGTTATGTTTATGTGATCTATATTTTACTTTTGTGCACTATGACAGATATCAAATTTCAATCATAGTCATAATATGATGAGGCTTAGAAAACTTGAAGTTTGGTGCTCAAATCACTAATGATCATTGCCAACAAATTTCACACTATTGATACAATTCAAAAATATATTACTTTTTAATATAAATATAAACATTAACTTTTATTTATTGTTAACATTGACAATTATGTTTTTGAAATTTTAATAATAACATTGACAAATTTTACAAGTTATTGTGAACTTCAAATATCTAGAGTAATAGAACTTATGATTGGAAATATAACAAGGCATACATACTTGTGTGAATAGTATTTTTAATATTCCGAAATAATATCTCTTAGCATGAACAGAAGATGCCTCAGCAAGAATACGTTGCGTTTCGAAATCACTCTCATCAGCATGTTCATTGACCTCCTTAGTATTCCAACCAACAAAGGCAATCAATTTTAATAACAACTTTTCATCGATAATTAAAGAGATGTTCTTTACACGGATGACCAGATGCTGGAAAAATTAAACAAAAAAATTATAAAATAAGTATAGCAATATAATCCACCAGCAGTTAGAAGCCAAATGAACCACTCATACCAATTTCAAAAAATGATAATTAAGATGAAAAGAAAAAACTAATAAATAAAGTTGACTCTTCTTGATAGCTTAAATTCATTTAATAAACTTTTTTCTTTTCTTTTTTATATTTATTCCTTAAGAAAATCTATTACACTAAAAGAAACAAATAAATAAAATTACTCAAAAATAATTTTAAGAGACATTTTACGTAACAAAAAAAATATAGAATTGTTCCCTTCTTTAATCTAAGAATTTAATGTAATATAACTGTTATTCAGATTTTTTTTTTTTTTGTCAGTTTTATTCATCAAGAGACAATCGTGACTTTTTTAAAAAGTCCAGATAATAAAAATTAACTTTTATTATTAATAATCCATTAAAAAAATAAAGAAAAAATTTACAATCATTGTGTCAACCTTATTTTTAAATTATCCCTTCAAGATAGTTAACTACAGTAAATAAGACCATGAACATTAATCAAAAGAGTCAAAACAGGCAAATCCAAAGTCTCAACATAGTTCTAAACTATTAATACGATTAATATCTTTAATTGGAATATGCAATTATTTAAATAGCACAAAATATATTTTTTCTGATATATAAATTTTATGTTTATGTGATCTATATTTTACTTTTGTGCACTATGACAGATATCAAATTTCAATCACTATAACTCAACTCAATTGTTTGTTTTTTTATTGACTAGTGGAATATTGGCATAATTTAAAAAAAAAAAAAAAAGGATTAATGGTAACAAACCTTAAAAATATCTGCATTATAACTATATTTGTTCGGAGTCTTTTCAGCAGATATGCTGATAGCAGGACGTGCTAGTTCTTCAGGATCAGAAGATCTTGTAATAGGAGTAACATAAAGTGTAACTGGACTCTGTGCTTCGAAAACCTGATTATCAATCTAAAAAATATTTCCAATTAAATATATCAATTATAATAATCAAGTGGTCATGAAATTCAATTTTGAAATCAATTACTTGTATGTCTTGAACAGAAAGATCCAATAATTCAGCAGTAGGTTGAACAAGAATATGCATTTTTATTCCAGACAAGTAGGCATATAGCAGTTCCTCATGAGGTTTTCTAGACACTAAACTTATTCCAACAACTGGCAATTGTATAATTATCTGAAATGACCAAAATTCGCGTTGTTATTATAGTAATAATTTTTAATTATTATAGTAAAATTTCTAAGAAACATATGAGAATGTTAAGTGTTAATTATTTTTTTTTTAGAATATTCACATTCATGTAGACATTTGTTTCTTGGTGAAACATCTCAAAAGGTATTCTTTACAATCATCATTTATCACTAATATCTCAATTTTTTAGAATAATCAAGAAAAATCCTATGTGAAAATGAAGAAAAATCTCATGATTGCATTTTTTATTTCACAATTTTTCTTAATGAGTATTAGGACTGAGGTAAACAGAAGGATCTAAGTTTTTTTTTTATTTGGAAAGCCTAATTTCTACTTAATTTTCTGTCCCAACCAGCCAATATTTTATCTTGTCGAAGCACAACAATTTGACATTGTTTGTTCTATTTCAAAATAGATTCATAATCATGGACAATGTCTTCATAATGCAGATTACCCAATTAACCGGGATACTTATTCAATTTGTTAACAGTATTTATTTCTAGTACAAATTATTTCACCTCATTCACTGATAACAATATTATTCATTGATATAAAGAAAGAGAAAACATAATATTGTCGATTCATTGCAAAAATTCATTAAGTAAAAGTTTATAAAATCAAATTAATATGAAATATGATGAATTTTCCTTATGTTAAATCAAAACATTGTGCACTTTATGAGTTTTTCGATCGATAAATATTCTTAAAATTCACTAATATAATTGAATAAAATTTAGCTTCATCAAATTTATTCTTAGTGACTTTATTCAACACACTGATGATATGATCACATTTAAATGAAATCTATGAAGAATCACAGATTTAATTTAAATGGTTTCACAGATCAAATCTTTTACCTGAACTTCTCTGCCTTGAGAATCATCCCTTTTATTGGCATTTGCAGCATTAGAAAAATTTATCCATGAGCCTTCATCTACAAGCGTGAAAACTCTCTGAAAAGAAAATTTTAGAATAGTACATTGAAAATGAAATAATTTGATGTTCTTTTATTCAATTCTTCTGTACTGCAAATATGAATTTACATGTTTGTAGCAAAAAAACTTAATTCAACAAAATTTCTATTTATTTTGTGATAAAAACTAAGTACAGAAAAATATATAATAAAAAAAATAATAATATTTCCAAAGTATAATTTATAATTACTGACAACTGGGGTTAATATATACATTGGCCATAAGACAGTAAATTAATTTTTGTTACCTTTTCTTTTATATCTGAAATTTGGAGAACACGTGTCGGACCATCTGTATTAATGAACACTGAGAGGAATCCTGAACCTGGTCTCAACCTCTGTCTACTAACGGCTTGCTCCAAAGGAATTCCCTTATCGGTCGTTTGATAGGTTACAGCCTGAGGTGGACCCAAAACAGCCTCACTCCCTGTAAACATAAAGCAATCGTAACACTTATGAAATGTAAATTTTAATGAAAATTATCAAGTTGTTAATTATCTATAAATCATGGAAACAGATCCCAGAGAAATTTTAGAGGAAAAAATAAAAATAAATTATAATAAGTTATTATTTATGATAAAATGTACCATTCCTTCTCCCCAAATAAATGTGTATATATATGTAAATAATAAATAAAATAAATAAATAGAAGAGGACCACATTGTTGGAATAGCTACATTGAATGAGTAATACAAGGCTTAGAAAATAAACATTTTTAGTTTTGTTTAAAACATACCTAAAATATTTCTAAAAAATGTTAGTTACTTCTCAATTAAAAATTAATTGTAATCTGGGCTCCCATCCAGAAAATAAAAGAACAAATATAACACTATAAGTTATTCAATATTGATGTACAACTTGACTATTTAGGTCAAGAGAAGAATATAATAAGGAAACTTAAATCTTCTATGTAAGTGAAAAATCATACAGAATGAAAATAGAGAGACAAAAGAAAGTTCAATAGTTCAGAGAATCAAATGAACATCAATAAACTGGCTGAAACAGATAAAAACGTATTGAAATGTTCAAAGAGAAAGAGATGTTCAAAAATAAGTGATTAGTAACATCTGTTTTGTCAGGGCACAATCTCAGTAATCTGAACTAACAAAAAAAGTAAATAAATAAAATTAAAAAAAAAAAAGAAAATGAGAGAAGAAATGGTGAAAAAAAAGTCTCTTCCAAGAAAGGAAAAATTTTACACAGCGCCTTGAAGGCCACCTGCTTCATGTTAGGGATTAAACAAAATTAGAAATCCTATTAATAAAACAACCAAATTAGAGCTATATTAAAAAAATTCAATCCAAATAAAATTTAATGAGCAGTGTTCTTCACAGGTATACACAAATGTCTCATTTCTTTCTCCTACATTATATTTTTATTTTTGTTAGAATTGATGGTGGGGCTCATGACATAATTGCACGGAGGTGAAAAATTTCTAAGGCCTCCACAGTTATCCAGCTAATAAAGTATTATGTATTCAGTGAGTTTTTATTTTAATTATTAAACTAATTATCAATAGTACTTTTCACATTCCCTGTATTCCAAACTTTTCAGTTTCCAATTCTAAACTTTCTCTGCAGCAATTAGTTCAAATAACAGGGAATACACTGTTGTTAATTATAAATACTATTCCATTGACCAACTCTACTACTATTACTCCAATTATTACAATTGTACTGACATTATAACCAATTAGTTTCTTTATCAATAACATTCTCCAGCCAGTATGTTTATATTTCTTTATTAAAGAAATATCATTCAGTAATGAATGATTGGACCCCATGAAGGAGTGCTCTCAAATCCAATCAAGATAGTAACTGGAGTGAAACAGGGATGCATGCTATCATAAATTTTATTCATCGTTCTTTTTGATAGTATTATGAAAGCAACGCTTGGAGGAAGAAGACACAGTATGCAGTGGGGATAAGGGAGAGAGGAACTTGACTTCGAGGATGATCTCTTTCTCCAAACACAGAGGTTCAGCGACTTCTAGTGGAAATTGGATGGCCTTAGCAATATAGCAAGCCGCGTTGGACTGCGAATCAATGTAGGCAAGAAAAAGATGAAAACGAATGAACGATACAGGGAGCCTCTTCTCCTGATGGGCGAGAACATGGAACAGGTTGATTCCTTTGTCTATTTAAGAAGCCTAGTCACAAGGGATGGTGGCTTAGCGAAAGATCCAAATAACAAAGACCAACGGTGTTTTTGTTTAGCTATACTCAGTACCGAAGAAAAGAAACCTATCTAAAAACACAAAAATATGGCTTCTTTTCAAAACAAACATGAAATCAGTCCTTTATAGCAGTGAAACATGAAAAATGACAAAAAACATCAACCGCGTACTACAGACGTACGTTAACAGATTTAGAAATAGAATACTAGAGATCTGGTGGCCAGAGCGCATATCAAATGAAGGATTATGGAAAGCCAACAACCAGCTAACAATCCATTTAGAGACATCCTGATGGTAGGGCAGATCCTGAGGAAAAAAGATGAGGCAATAGAAAAAACAGCACTACAATGGAACCCTCAGGGAAACAGAAGGAAAGGCAGACTAAGAGAGATGTGATGCAGGTCCGCAGAGAAGGAATTGGGTTGGGTTGGCAAATCGTGGAATGAGGCAAGAAGAATTGCTGCTGATAGAGTCAAATGGAAAGCACTCATGAATGCCCTATACTCCGGTGGGAGTCAAAGGAATTAATAATAATAAATAATGATTGGACCCACAAATCCCAAATAAATGACACTATGAAGAAACACATGAACTTTGAGAAATATATGAAGAAAAAAATGAATTTTAAGGATATTGCTTATATACCTCCTAACAATTTTACTTATCAAAGTATTTACCAAAAATAATGGGCATTTAATTAAGGTAGTTATCTAACTTTTGAACAGGCTATCTATTGTGAGAAAGCTCTACATATGAATGTTAGTAAACAATGAGGAAAAGGAAAACAATATAGCATTTTTCAAAGCCAGTGTTGTTAGTATACAAAGACAGTTACAATTTATATTTTAGATACAGAAAACAGGTAGTTAACAGAATTCTGCTTACAAATGAGAAGTATTAATAACTTAATAATTGAAATAATACTAATAATTAGGCTTAAAAAAACAATGAATCTCATCATTCCACTTCTAAAACTTGCTTAGGTTTTTGTTTTACTTCAGACCGTTCCTTATACAAATATAATCTTATACATTATAATATAAAGAAGATATCGTCTCTTGCTATAACCAAAATAAGCTATAAATTCATACTAAGGTTTTAATAGAAATATATATGAAAATATAATGAACCAATGAATATATAACAAACTAAAGAGAAGCAATATACAAAAAAATAAGTACAAAAAAAATTAAGGTCAGTATATTTTTTAAATTTTATTCCCATTTTTTTTAATTTAAAAAATACTTTTTTGTTCTGTGATGTGATATATTATGCTAAGTATGTTTTATATACAAGACAAAATTACTATCACACAGTAATTTATACTGTAGTATAAATAACAGTTATTAACTGTCGCACTATGTTGATATTTACAAATGTGGTCAACATTTTTACAATTTGCTTTACATTCTGACAAATGGCACATTTTATAAAATGCAAAGGAAATTGAATCGACGTGTTTGGAACCTCTGATATAGTAAAGCCGACCGGGGTTGGCGGGGGGCCTAGAGAACCCAACATAATTGTAACCAGCGGAATCAACCCCCCCGACAGCGGGTCCACTAAATTCAATCATATTTTTTTTTCGATGATTCTACATTGAAAAATATTAAATTAAAAAAATTATATTATTTATTTTGGTTTTGGGGTTTGAAATCCAGCTAAAATTTCAAACATCGCCAATGCCCCCACAACCCACACACACACTCCGGCACACACCAACACAAAATTTTTTTTTTATTTAATACCCTCCAAATGACCCAATAACCCCCCCCCGCTGCCCCCCCCCACAACAAAAATGTAGCCCCCAACCCCGCTCCCACCACAATCCAATACTACACAACCCATTCCTTGGGACACACCATATACCACCCAACCAACTACCCCCCAAACGCCTGAAAAACCACGACCCGACACGACCCACGACCCATATAAGAACTAACACCCGCCCTCTCCGGATACCCTTTATAAACTATAGTCCAACGCGCGACACAACCCACCAATCCCCAAAACCACTCCCACCCCCCGAAACCAAACCGTAACCGATATCTAGTAGTGCAGGTATATGATCATATTTGACTATTCATCGAGATACGAGGCATAAAATTTTATCGTCCGACATCATTACACCTCAGGAAATACGACTACCTAACATACAAGAACACAAGTTGTTGTACAACACCGAATACCAAGCACACCTGATCCACATCAGTAAATTTTAGATTTCATTCCTTTTTAAGCTAAAAACCAAGGAAAACTTTTTTATTTTATATCTTAGTTCTAATTTGTTTACAAAGGTCACGTTTATACCGTTTTGTGTAGACTATAGAGCCCTATATACCAGTAGATCGTGCGAATTGGTGGAAATGACATGAAGCTATCACAATATCTGTGGTTGTGGACAAAATTTTGAAGGATCTAGTCTAGATAAAAATTTAAGTCCAATTCATCCAATACTAGAAAAAGAAATTTGAAATCAAGCTTTGAATTTACAATATAATAAATATATTATTGAAATTCTAAGAACATTAGAGAATATTTTTATACTTAACTCAGACAATATTTCTGACTTTGCACTAGCAAACAATATTTAAATTCATTCCCAAATCAATATATGCTTTAAATCATTCTAAAATCAAACAATATTCCAAGTCATTCCAAAATCTAGATTTAAAAATAGATGTACCATGCATTGTTAAGATATAAATAAATCATAGAATCCAGGCTCTATCATTCAGTTCTTTTAATTAATGAATAATATAAATGCCGAGAAGCAAGGACAAAAGGAATACCAGATAAGATCTATAAAATTAAAGAGTTAATTTAAAAAATTATGATTTATAAAATATAAAATAAATAAAGGTAACAATACTGCTCAAAAATGAATAGGAATATTTTTATTTGATTCACTTTAGTTATAATACCATATTTTTTCTTTTTGTTAAAGACTCTCCAATTAGTTGGTAAACATAAAAAGTAAACACCAAGTATTCTTTATTTTAAATAAGTTATTAACTAAAGGATAGTCAACATGAACAATACTCATGGCGTAGACCAACAATTGTTTTTGACTTTTCTCAGGTTTAATCCAGCAATATTCTGTTTAATGATGAAAAGAAATATTGAGCCAGAAGTTCACAATATTATTATAAGAATGAGCGGTCAAGAGTGTAGGAAAGTCGATATCGCCGATGTAGTTGGTGTCTCCCACATTATGGTCTCCTGAACTTATCCAGATTCAGAGAAACCAGAAATACCAATGGAGATTTATCAGTGGATCTCAACGAATTACAACATCAAGGGATTTAAGGGAGTAATGTTTTTATAATGTTCATAGTGAACGAACAGAACCTAAATGAAATGTCTAATGTTCTGCCAAGGCCTAAATCAACTCAAACAATTTGTAATCATATGTGAGAAGTTGACATAACATCTTATGCCCCTTTAAGATGACCTGCAGCAACAGTGAATCACCAGCAATTCAGATTATGGTGCAGCGAGTGCCTAGATGAGGATATAAATTGGAATGCTGTTATGTTTACAGACGAGTCGTATTCCGAGAACAGTTTACGCTTTCTTCAATGCACTCTACAGATGAGAATGTGATGGTAAAGGTCGGTCTACTCAGGAGGACAGACTCAACTCCATATTGTGGAAGGTGAACTCATTGCAGTTTGTCATATTCAAGAAATTATAGAGGAGTAAATTCTTTAAACAAGGGCCATAATTGGCACAGATTTCCATTTTGTTGATGACAATAGGCAATCTCATAGGGGAAAAGACATCCATCAATGTCTTGAAATTCTGGACAATTCACATTTTTTCTTTCCTGTAGTTTCTCCACACCTCAATCCTATCGGACAGATGCGAGATGCATGGCAGAGAAAGCATTATGACAAACATCTGAGGCTTATTAACGTTCAGCAACTAAGAGCCGTATAACCATAAGTATAATATGAAATTTCTTGTTAAACTAGTGATAAAATTATAAACAGAATGCCCAATTGTTGCATAAAATAAGACATTACACAAATTAATAAATGTTATAAAATTCTTACAGTTCCCAATCATAAAACAATATCACAAACATTTTTAATTTTATTATTTAAAAAAAAAAATCTTTTATAAAATTTCCTAAGGTCAAATTCAATCCAATTTTCATTTAGTTTCAATGCATTTTATAATAAAAATTCAGGAATTTGAGTTCTACCAATGGGTAGTTTCTCTTCATGTTTTACATGTCAGGTTACCAATGTCACATTTACCTGTTGTATTTTTAATGTAATACAGTTGTAAATTTCATTAAAAAAAAACAAAATAAAAAAGTTCAGGAGAAAATACATTATACAAACTAATAATATACCTATTCATTTTTTAGCAGTATATGTTTTAATAAGATATTAAAAAAAAAAAAAGACTTTACTTCAAAAATAATTCAATAGCTGAAAATTATCTGATATATTGTCAATAACATAAACCTCCCCCCCCCCTCCCTCCCAAATATTAATCTCTGTCAAGAGATTACTTGGAGAAGCTCCCAACAACATGGATGACAAGTTGACATAAGGGGTCACAAAAAAATAGTATACAGTCTTTATCAGAAAATCAAATAATTGAGACAATCTCTCTAGAGGAACATTTCATTTGGAATGAAGTCATAATATGTGACATATATAAATATGTTACAACTTAATTAGAACCAAACATCAGTTAACGTGCACAACAACTAACCCTTATGTTAACCAGAGCTGCTGAGTTAATTCAACACTGATGAACATTAATAAAAACAAAATTATACTGAACTGTTCGCAATAAGTGAATAATTAAACTGACAAAAAGAAGCTCAAGTCATAAAAAAAAATGAAATGCATTCCACATACAAAAGAAAATTAACCCTTCAGTACATGCAAACTATCAAAATGATCAAGTCTTAAATTATATCTATTCTGTTAGTTTAAAAATTAGGTTCTAAGAATTTAGATTAGATTTAGGCTAGAGAAAGACTATCTAATTTCATTTAGTAAAAGGAACTATTAAAAAAATATATATGCATAATGTGTTCATCAACTTTTGCTTATCTTTTATTTCAGAACTAAAAAAAGTTTACAATTTGAAAGGCTAATTATTATTAAAATTATCCACAACATTATTTTATATTAGAAAGATAGTACATGAAGAATTTTTTTAATCAGACTGATGAAAAGATCTGACCACACTATTGATGTATTCAATTATGTGTAATATCTTCTATAATCTAGCAATTTATAGCCCTAAAACCCCTATCCTGCTCTACCTGTGTAATGTGTAAAGAAAATTTCTAATAATTAGGCAACTGAGAATTTAAAAAAAATATCAAAAAGAACATTTTATCCAAAAGCTGAGAGCACTATTCTTCTCTTAATGTATACAGCCACATTTACCATCCATTAACAAGTTCGGTACAAATGGATATTCTTTCATTTTGTTTCCTGTAAAGCTAAGTAATTAAAAA